TGTAGTTTCCAAATATCTTTGGAGGCCAATTGTTGTAGTTTTGTAGGACAGTTCTAGTTGAACTAATCCTCTGCCTCCTTCGGATCTGGGCACATACAGACGATCAACATCAGCTTTGGGATGATGCATGCGATAGCCAGTGAGAAGCTTTCTCGTTTTGGCGTCCATTCGCTTAATTTCAGCTACGGTCCAGTTAAGGACATTAAAGCTGTATTGCACCACAGGGACAGCCAATGTGTTTATGGCTGATATCCTGTTTTTTGAGTTCAGCTCAGTATTTAGTACCAGACGTACACGCCTGTAGTATTCTTTTCTTATTTTTTCCTTCATTTGGGGGTGTTGTATGCCATCTCCTTCGCTAATTCCTAGGTACTTATAAGCTTCATCATGCTCCAGTTTCCTAATCTTTGTGACAAAATGTAAATCTGTTAAGGGTGTTTCTGTAATTCTACCTTTCTTGAATGTTACTTTTGCTGTTTCTGTAATTCTTTATTATTATTATTATTATTAGTGGGAAGTGCCTGAAGTTAATGTAAGTGTGTGCTTGTGTGTGTATGTATGTATGTGTGTGTATGTGTTTGTGTATTTGCGCGCGCGCGTGTGTGTGTGTGTGTGTGCGTGTGTGTGCGTGTGTGTGTAAGGCAAGGCAAATTTTGAAAAGTATTTTGCTTTATTTTTCTACTTCCCCTTGCTCATTTATACAACTTTCAAAAATGATTGTTTTTAAAAATATTCTTATAAAAATACTATTAAGTGAAACATTTTTCCCAAAGAATAATGGTAATAGTGCCAATGACAATTTAGTTCCCAAATAATCTCCCCAGGTCTAATGCAGTTTAATTCAGACATTATAATGGCGTCTATCAAAGTCTTCAGCAAAACATTCAAAGTCAATTCTCTCAGTTCGTCAATTTTCAATCGATATTAATGCAATGTTACCTAATCTGTAACTCGTCATAGAATTTCTCTCTCAGAAGTCATTAATATTATCTGATCTTGTTTTTTTTACTACGAGCTATTAAGACTTTTTTGTTTTTCGAATGTAAAAATCTACTTTTAATATTATGGCTTGAATACTTTGCAGGATTTGCATGGCTCCAACGACAAATGGAACTATTGATGTTCTCATGCGCCACATTATTGAGATTTCCATTTCACGATCCTTTTATTATTATTATTATTAATAATAATTGTGTATGTTTCCTGCTTTGTATCCTGTAGAGCCGGGTCCTTAGGTCCTATAGGAGAATTGTGATTTAATTGATATCACTTTCCTTAGTATATGAGATATTCCTAGTTGGACGATCTTCTAGGTTACTTGTATGTTGATGTTACCTGGGACGCTATTAGTAAATTGTCCATTATTATTATTATTATTATTTACTTTGATTTCTTGTGTATACTTAAGGTCAGAAATGTCATTATGACATTTTCCACTGAATAGTTTTGAAAATAATCCCACACATTTTACATAAATAAAGCCCTTCGTAAGGTGTGGACTGTACTTGTGAGAACAATTGTTTTGTGTTTCTTTAAAGCAGAAATGACTTCAGTGAGGGCTCCAACTACAACTGGAATTGTTGATGTTCTCATGCGCCACATTTTTGAGGTTTCTATTTCAAGGTCCATGTATTTTGATAGATTGTTGAAGATCTTCAAAGATACATTGCAGTCTGCTGGGACTGCCGTGTCAATAAGAAGGCATATTAGGCTTTGCAGTCCCTAATCACGATGTCTGGACGATTAGCTTTTATTTATTTATTTATTTATTATTATTTTTATTATTATTAAATTTCTTTTTGACCTGCAATGGTTTTATAATCCCATGTTGGATCATACTCAGTGACTCCCGGTCAAGCGAAGAATGAGAATTTTTTTATTGTTTCCACTTAAGTAAACAAAAGACAGATTAACAAAAAAAAAAAAAAAAAAAAAATGGACAAAGTTCTTCGAAGGAGATGGACTGTGATTGTGAGAATAATTAGTTTTTGGAATTCCTGAAAAGAATGGGCATCATGTATGTTCTGATTTTGTTGTTGAGTTCGTTTCTTTATCAGACCCAAAACTCCAGTCACAACAAGAACAGTTTTAGTTTTTAAGTGTCTCATTTTTTTATTTCCATCTCCATATTGTATTTCCTTAATTTTTCAAAAACCTTCGCACAGGTGTTTTAGTTACTTAGTAAGCTCATGTGAATCAGTATGCAAACGTTTTCTTTCTGTCTTTAATAATAAGGTTTGGCTGATTTACTTGTATTGTTCGATTTGTGTTGATAATAAAAAATCTCAGAGGTTGGTAACATCTGCTCCATCAATTGCACATTCTGGATGATGTACATACCACTTTGCAGCTGTTTTTATCCCATAGTAATGACATCTTCCATTGCAGATATTGACCTAACCTGTCATGACAGTTTTTGTACTCATTCAGTGTGAGTATTAATTATCCTGAGATAAGCTAATCAATAGTTACAACGGATTGCTCACAAAAACTACATTACAGCTATAAGATTATTCGAATTTATTTGCCGATCCTACTCAGGATGTAGTTAATCATGGTTCCTCACACTTTCCTGTCCTAGCTTTTAATAAATGTCCTTTTGTTATTTTCCTTAAGTCTATTCCGAAATCCATTTACTTCAAATTTCATACGCGTTGTTTTCCTCTGTCCCTCTTGCCTTCAACCTCTCCCGTGAGTATCAAATTTTCTAAGCCATCTTTTCTTATTATGTTTCCTCGACATTTCAACTGCCTCTTCCTGATGTTAAATATAAGTTTCCTTTTTCTTTGAATTTTATCTAAATCTCCGTTGTTGCTCATATATTCGGTTTATGCATCCTTCTGTAGAACCACATTTCTATTGCTTCAAGTTTCTTCATCATCTTTGAGGAGATTGTCGAGCATTCACTGTCATATAGGAGGACAGATAACAGTTCAGTACGCTTTTCTTTGTTTTCTAATGAAGTTTTTCTGTTTCTTAATATTCTGCATAGCTTTAGGAAGGCATCTTCCAAGGCGCCTTCGTATTTCAGTGAAGCAGTTTAGGTTCTTTGTTAAAAAAAAACTTCCCAGACAGTGAATGCTGGACAAGTTGTCTTCCCCTGTTTGTAACATTTACTTTTGACTGAAGTGCTCAACACAAAGTAGAGCGATATATTATTTTTATTTTTATTATAATAGATTACAGCAAAAACATGTTGAGATCGCAATTGAATTGTTTTTTTCTAATCTATAATAATAATAATAATATATATATATATATATATATATATATATATATATATATATATATTTTTCATGCGATCTCGTTTTAAATTGTGACTATTTACCTTAACCATTTTCTAATATATATATATATATATATATATATATATATATATATATATATATATATATATATGGAATCTCCGTCTGTTTCGACATGTGAGGATATGACAGCATAGTTGATTCATTTATGAAATTTTGTGCGATAATCTTAAGTAGCATTTAAGACCCGCTAGTGATTTTACAAAGGAGGTCACATATGGAGCAAGAGTGCGGACTGTGAGATGAGATCACTCTTAGATTGGCTGACCTTTTAGATCTTGCTCTCGCTTCTTGAAGTTGATTCAGACAAGCAGATGGAAAACTACTGAGTCCACTAAAACACGTTGATCTCCATTCTACCCGCTCCAAGGCTAAGCACTCAAAGGTGTTATGTGGTATATTAACAGCTGACAAGTTGCTTTTCAGCTTGTCTTTGTATCTTAGCCATAGATGTCCTACATTCCTGTAGCCCTATATATATATATATATATATATATATATATATATATATATATATATAAGGTACGATATAGGTGTGGTCATTTTTTTCAAGGTTTTTCTGTGTTATTTGGACTTTTTGGTTTATTCTATAACAAAGTCAAATAGCAGTAAATAGGAAAAAAAAATAGATTGTACTGCACCAAACTACCAAGTGGTGACGGCTTGTCTTTCTGCCTTGAAAATCAGCATTTGAAATCCTGACAGAAATTTGAACCAACCACTGGAAAAAAAAAAAGCGGAACAATCTCAGATACAATATAAAGTTTAAATAAATCTACCAGAACGTCGAATTTTGTTTTCTAGGCATTAAAAGGAAGTTGTCGACTTCACATAAAGAGCAGAGTCGGAATTTTGACATCGTCATATCTAAGTGGGCGCACGTGCAAGGCCAATGAACAATGAACTTCCGCAATTATGTAGGGGGAGGGTACTTCTAGTCTTCACTGAACAGCGACATCAGATACATGTAGGTTGTAAAACTCAATTTTACGGAGTGCTTGATTATCTTCTATGTACCGTATCCCTTCATGATGTGAGTGATCATGGCGCTTCACAACTTCCTATCCCTTTATTTTTTAACTAACGTTTGTGCTTTTACCATAAATTCCGCTAATCCACAACGACTTTAGGTAGGTGGCCCGATGCTTCGTCTATTTACATTTGATATGTCCTGTGATTTATAAATTCTCCAAGCCCCCCTTTCTCATTCCTTATACGTCCAAGAAATTTCAATTAAATCTCTAATTCTAAGTACAAGTGTTCTTTTTGTTTCTCCAAAGAAGTATTGAACTAAAGCTTAATCCTTCTTTGTTGCTTAGGCGCTTCGTTCATGGCATTGCTTACATCGTTCTATAGAAACACATATCTGTTGATTTAAAGCTTCTCTTCATCTGTGAGAAAATTGTCCAGCATTCACTATCATATAGGAGGACTGATATTACATAGCAGTTCAGCATTCTTTCTTCGCTTATGATAATATTTTCATATTTCTTAATACTTTTATTATATTTTGAAGGCATCTTTTGCTATTCACTGATTTTTCTTTGCAAGTCGGTAATTGTTACACTAAACGCAAATCTATGGATATTACACCAGAAGCAGAGAATAATTCCAGATATCTATGTCGAAATATATCGTAGTTTGAAGTGTTTGTAACGTTGCGTTATAAATCATGCAGAGCAATGCTAAAATAATTTATCGAGTGATAGGGTTGGCCTGAACAAACTGAGACAGACAGACAGACAGACAGATAGATAGATAGATAGATAGATAGATAGATAGATAGATAGACATGTTCTGAATGAGATAGATAGGTATAAACAGACTGAGATAGATAAGTAGTTGAATAGATAGATATGAATAGGCCAAGATAGATATGAACAGACTAAGATAGATAGAAACAAACATATATATATATATATATATATATATATATATATATATATATATATATATATATACAGAGAGAAAATATGTAGATATAAACAGAGATACGTAGATATAAAGAGAATGAGATACATATCAGACCTAGTTATATACGAACAAATTTTGATATATATATATATATATATATATATATATATATATATATATAGATAAATTGATAGATAGATAGACATGTTCAGTTCGAGATAGATAGATAGTTGAATAGATAGATATGAATAGACCAAGATAGATATGAACAGACTGAGATAGGTAGATAGAAACAGCTTTATATATATATATATATATATATATACAGAGAGAGAGAGAGAGTGAGAGAGAGAGAGAGAAAGAGAGAGAGATAGAAACAAAGTAGATATGAACAGAGACAGACATCAACAGACCTTGTTATATATGAAGAAACTGTGATAGATAGATTGATTGATAGACATATTCACAATGAGATAGATATAAACAGACTGAGATATGTAGTTAAATAGATAGATATGAATAGACTAAGATATGAACATTGATAGATAGATAGATAGATAGATAGATAGATAGATAGATAGATAGATAGATAGATAGGTAAATGTGAACAGACTGAGATATGTACAGATATACAGACGGAGATAGATATGAAGTCTGAGATAGATAGATAGATAGATAGATAGATAGATAGATGTTTAAGCAAAGTCAGAGAGTAACAGGAGAGATAGAGAGAGAAAATGGGAGAGAGCAATGTAAACATGTTTACAGATTTATACGCTGATAAACACATACAAACACACCTGATATATTTGGGTTTGTGTTGAAGCAAATCTGTATAAATATTTGTATAACTGCATGTGTGCAAATATGCAGCACTCTTCACAAATATACGCTCTCGTCGTTGTGTATATACATCGGCTTCAGTAGACATACGTACATATATACACAAAACGCCTAGAATACACAGCGCACAGCATGACATAGCCCTTTAGGTGGAGCGGTAGTCTCTTCTCACGATGGAGACATATCCATCATGAAATGTTAAAGGCTGATTATCGAAAGGTTGCCAAACCGCTGTCGAGTTGTTCATGGTTATAAATCTAGTAGTCGAAGACCATGTGCTAAAAGAGTCAATACAATTCTCCCCTAAGTTGTGACCTTGTGAAGTTTAAGAAACATTTTAAATGTTGTGACGTAAAACATTCGCTGAAGCTTGTAGAGTTATATCAGACAAAGTTTGGATTCGTAAACACCGTCCGTATATATATATATATATATATATATATATATATATATATATATATATATATATATATATATATATATATTAGGCCAGTGCAAAAAGTCTCGTTGGCTCCCACCAAATCTATAATACCACCCATTACTATATCTCAATATTCATAGGGTAGAATTCATATAAAATACAAATTTTAATTTAACCTAATTATACAAAATAATGGCTCATATGCAATACAGGCGAACAATTCAACTAGCAAAATTGAAAATAAATAAAATGTATCTAAATAAAAATTAGAGGCATCTCGTAATAGATCATTCCATCTTAAATCAATCAACAATGTTTTTTACCATGAACTCGTGAATTTTTTCTTGTTAAAAAGTTGTATAATTTTAACATATTTAACATTATAGATAAAAAAAAGTGAATTTTATAAAGTGTTGTTATTAAGACTTAACATAAGCAAAACAAATTCACGGATTGGACGGGAAAAAAGAAAGCAGAAGAACGGCAAAATCCGCTAAAATGTTTCATTCTTTAATATTCAAGTTTGCTTAGTTTAATTTGTAATATATGTAAATGTAGGTAGTAAAAAGCAAATATTTATAAGATATCGAGGGTTACAAAGCACTGCTTTGTCCCCCAATCAAGCTTCACCCTACCCCGGACGGCCATATATATATATATATATATATATATATATATATATATGTATGTATATCCTGTAGTTAACTGCTACTAACAAGCAAATTTTTTCTCTCCTGATGATGGACATGCTGGCCGAAACAAGACAAAGAATTTAATTGAAATACAACCTAGTCTGTCTGAAAATTTGAATATTTTAATTTCTCAATATTTTTTATTGTTCAGTTCATCAGACCTACAAATTAAAAATTTTGAATTTGTAGGTTTGATGAATTGGATTGTGATTACGATTCCAATGTAATAAATTATAACCATGGAATATCAGTGTTTGAGCCTTTTATATTATATTCTTACTCTGTCCTGGACATTGAGTTCTACCTGGGTTCTATCCTCTTGGAATTTATATATATATATATATATATATATATATATATATATATATATATATATATATATATATGACCACGATATATGATATATATATACATGACCACGCGAGAGAAAACGAAATTATTAAGTATGGGAAGTCGTTGGTATAAACCAATGGCTTCTGAGTATCAATATATATTTGTATATATATATATATATATATATATATATATATATTGATATATATATATATATATATATATATATATATATATATATATACACAAATATATGTATTGATAACGGTTTATACCAACGACTTACCATACTTAATAATTTCGTTTTCACCGCGTGGTCAAACCCATCTGAGCTGCGATGCGATTTTCGCTTCCGCGTCTTGTATACACGAGTTTGTCGTTGCTTTGAAATTTTTCATGCATCAAAAACAGACTATTATTATTGTTTCCTCTGTGTATTGTCTGATATATTGAAATGTAATTGTCATCTTTGATAATGGATTATATAAGCCGAAAGCTTAGATTGGATTTAAACACGTATTAATATGGTGCGTTCCTTTCGTCTTATAATGATAATGTTATTAAGCTTATCAGACAATATGAAAGAAACTTACTTAAAATAGACACAACTTGTCTATATTATTTAATGAAACATGCATCAATGATATATATATATATATATATATATATATATATATATATATATATATATATATATATATATATATATATATACGTGTGTGTATATGATGGTCTCTCCTGTCGTTTTCGACGTATAAGGCCAGCTTGAGACCTACACAAGTTTCTACCTACAGGACAAGGCACAGTACCGCATGTGAAGGCTGCAAATGTTAAATCAGTGTTCCGTGCTCTGCTTTGCAAAAGGTTAATGCTTGACCTCTTATATGAACACACTCCTCCATTTGACATGATTCACAAGCGACTTCCTCAAAGGAAAAACAAAGCAGTAATTCAACAGGTGTCTCTCCCTTTTTAGAGAATCGTTCCGCAGTTGTTAGTAAATGAGGATTTTAGTCGTTCATTCATCACACATGCACACAGTATGAACAGTAGAGCAATTCAATTTTTAATTTTCTTTACAAAATCAAAATTGGACTCAATACGAAAACTGGGGTTTGATGTGAGAAGTATTGCCACCAAAAAGTAGATTAAGTAGATTTTACCAATGTTTTACCATTTAATCTTAAGTATAGTCTAAAAAAATGTAGAGAAATCCCTAATTTCCTCAGGTTTTTGCTTACAAAATGACTTCCAATTTTATCTATTTCAAGATTAAATCCAAATAATGTTGGCATTTTTTTGTATTAGATACATCCAATCAAAATATATATTAAAACCAGAATTCTAATTACGAAACATCATAAGAAAAATATGCACTTTTATTGCTGTATTCTTTAAGTGAAAACTGTAAAAATGGTCAAATTTATAAAAAGGCTCATCAAGGTCTTACAACATTTGTTAGATTATAATTAATAAAAATAAAAAAAATAGATAAACGTGTATATAACTTCATAATACTGCTGGGCGCAAATTATAAGACAAAATGATATAAATTTGCTTTGTTTATTGAAAATCTCACTAAAACTACTGCATTGTTTAACATATTCCATCATAATATAGCTAAATTATTCAGTATAATTTCCCTTTGAAGTAAATGAAGGTCTTATTTGATGGCACAATGATTTAGTAATAATATACTTCTGCCTTGCTTCTTGTCATTATACAATTTGTAAAGCTATAGTAGTTACTTTAACTGTTTTTTTCACACCTTGCGAATGTGCAGGTAAATTAGGAATTTCCATTGTTTTTCCAATCATTAGAACCTCTTGTGATTCATTATTTGCAAACTCCATTTTGTTGTAGGTTGATCAAATGTGTCTCGTGTGTCGCTTCGGAATTGACGTATGTAACTTTTTTAATCTCTTCTTTGGTGGCTCGCTACTTCTGAAACAAACAAAAAAATATCTTTATTTGAAAATTTACCCAGACTTGGTTATATTTTTGTGATGTAATGGAATCGTTAATTGGAGATCCGAGTTTCAATTCCAGTTGGGTTCGTTATATTCACTTACATGCAAATAATCTCGGGAAAGGTATGAATCCACCTCTTCTTCCCCCAGCTATAGGTTAATTAGTAATACTTGTATCACTTAATCATTATAACCTCCCAAAAAATCTAAAAATCTAAAAAAATTCCTGGCTTTAAATAACCTGTAATGTGTTGATAAATGAAAATGAAATCAATTAATTAATCAATATATATATATATATATATATATATATATATATATATATATATATTCAGATAATTTAAAGCTTACGAACTAAAATGATAGTAAAAAAATCTACGCATATCTATACGCAGGGACATAAGCACATGCATACAGTGTTTCCTCTTTGCTGAATTGTTGTTCAAGGTCGGGGACACATCACTTATAAGCCTTTGAAAATATGTGTCAATTATTATAGCGAGTGGGGCACTTTGGTTCGTGTATTTGTTGTTGAGTTATTCAGGTTTCTCATTATGACGAAGACGATGTAGTAATGTCAACCCTCATGGGGGCATAATTCTCGTGTCAAACTTATCTAAGCTTAGTAAATATCTTGTTTCCTTCTGTACAGTATAATAGTTATCGGGCAATTCTAGTTGACCATGACCATTGAATGATATGATCGATCATGACGGGGTGCTCCATAATTATGGCCTTGACTCAAACTAAGTGAAACTAAATAGTAACTTTTATATATGTGGTTTCAGGATTTTGGTGTTACATTTTCTATCCTCCAAAGATCCCTTCCTAAAACTAAGCAACGTATTAAGGAAGAGGAAAATTCCGTTAGAAACAAAGGAGATTCTGCCCAGCTGCGATGTAATATTAATCCTCCTATATGGCGCGGGAATGTTGGACAATCTCTTCACAGATGAAGAGGAAATTTGAAGCAACAGGGATATAGTTCTAGTGAATGATGCTGAGAATATCACAGACTGAGGATATGAGCAATGAAGAGGTTTTAAAGAAAATGGAAAAGAAAAATCTCTAACTGTATCATTCATCGATGCATTGAATATTGCTGTCAAATCTTGTCAGGTGTTTCTGCTATGTATCGAGAGGCGCTTGAAAGAATCCAAATAAATCGGTCATGATCGGGCATCTTAGCTTCAATCACTTTCTCGCAACCATAAAGTAACTTCCCTTGGCCTTTTCTATATATATTTTCGTAACAGTTGTTCTGATGAATATTTGGTATGATGTCATCGCGAATTTAAGTCTAGTACTAGATTGGTAGTTTGATCTGATCATTTTACTGCTGAAATCACTAGACACGTAGCCGTAAGTTCTAGGCTAATAGTTTCTTCTCTCTCACTTCTTCTTTATGGAATTCTCTTCAGTCTTTTTGCTTTCTTGTCAACTACAATCTTCAAAAATTATAATGCAACATCAAATTTTATCATCTGTCTTCTTCAGTGCT